AAGAAAGAAAGAAAGAAAGAAAGAAAGAAAGAAAGAAAGAAAGAAAGAAAGAAGAAAAAGAAAGAAGAAAGAAGGAAGGAAGGAAGGAAGAGAGAGAGAGAGAAAGAAAGGGTTCCTCTGTAAAAGATAAGGAAACTTAGCCTTGGTGGTATAAGAAGTTTGTCCAAATGCACACATTACCAAATAAAGATTAGAGCCAGCAAGTCAGGTGGTCTCAGACAAATCCACAACTCACTTCAGTATACCACACTGTCTCATCTAATAAAAGGATTTTTTAGTACATTTTTTTTGTTGGCTTTGTTTAATGGCAGATCTTACATGCATTTAGACTGAAAAATTGGCTGTAATTTTGTTTAGCACCTATAATACAACGTATTTTCACTTCTCCATAGCCCATAGCTCCATCGTCATCTGGCAATACTTTTGTGTGGCTGGCTATTCATGAAAATGGATTGAGCATCTTAGAGTACACCTCCATGGTAAGGTTAAACCCTGGTATCTGTAATTAAATCTTCTATTTCCATTGCTCGGGGGATAGAGAAGCAGGAGGTTCTGAGATTCTGAATTGCTGTTTCTGATTTTTCCTTGAGTTTAGATGACAATTCTCCCTGAAACGCTCTAGCGGTCACTTTACAGGTACAATCACGTTACAATCCAGTGTTTTCAAACAGGCGAGACAGGTCGTGTGTGTGTGTGTGGTGTGTGTGTGTGTGAAACAGAATTTAAGATGGTGGGATTAGTTGCAATTGTGATTCTGTTGGTATTTTTTAAGTACTATGCCAGTTTTTTTTTACATTGTGTGTGTGTGTGTGTGTGTGTGTGTGTGTGTGTGTGTGTGAACTCAAGTGGAGGTCAGAGGACAACTTGCTGGAGTCAGCTCTGTTCTTCCATTATGCGGGGTCCCAAGGATCAAACCCAGGTGGTTCGTCTTGACAGCATGCATCCTTCCGGCTACATCATCAGCCCTCCACAAGTTTTTTTCCTATATAAAATAAGAATAATATTCTTATTTTAATATATTAAGATTTTAATATATTAAGATAAATAAATTTAATATATTAAGATAAATAAATATATTTAAGATATTAAAAAGTAGATACTTTATCTAAGTTTAAATTTCAGTTTCACTGAAGTTTCTATAGCATAATTTGTATAGTTTTCCATAGTGTCACCAGTTTTACTGACATTAAGGTTACATACATATCGACTAAAACAGAGAGCATATAATTAAAATGAACTTGAGCTGAACAATATGGCACATGTTAGTCCCAGCACTGAAGACATTGAGACAGGAAGGTTGCAAGTTCAAGGCTAGTCTAGGCTAGTAGTGCAAGATCTTGTCTCAAAATTTCAAAATATGTATTTTAAAAAATCAAAGAATTTCTTTTCTGTGTTCATTTATTTATGTGAAGTTAGCAAGATCTTGTCTCAAAATTTCAAAATATATATTTAAAAAAATCAAAGTATTCCTTTTCTGTGTTCATTTATTTATGTGAAGTTATCTTTTTCTACCATATTTATAGGTTATTTGGTAATTTCCGTTGTTGTACTGGGACCTCACACATGCTTGGCCACTGAGCTATGCACCCAACCGTAAATGTCTCAGTTTGGTGGGTTATAATTGCTGCTTTAAATAAATAGTGGGAGATGCTTACTTGTGGCACTAGAGAGAGAGAGCAAAAAAAAATTTTCTTGGTTTTATTTTTTGAAATGAAATTTCCCCCTTTTCTTTCCTCTCTCCAGCCCCTCCCATGTACACACACAGTCTTTCAAATTCATAGCCTCTGGCATTTTTTTCTTTCACTGTTATTGTGTGTGTGTGTGCACACACACATACACACACACACACACCCCACATAAAATAATAACACAATGGCTTAGCTATTCAGCAGCCGATTATCTCTGCAATCACTTCACTTGGCCACCTTTGTCACAGGAAGGTGGTAGAATTTAGAGCAAGGTAATACTGAACGGAGTGTATGGTGCTGTTTCTGTTTGTGCCCAAGTCTCCCTAGCAGGGGAGCCATCTGGATCTGCCAATACAGTGTTTGACCGTTTGGACCTTAAAAATAATCAGAGCTGGGCGGACATATAAAGATATAGTACCAAAGATTTTCTCCTGGGTACTGTGAATATAGGTGTTCATAGTTTCTAATTTGAGCTTTTCAGGGTCAAATGTATACTTGATTGTGTAGGCCGACGATTTTTTTTTTAAAAAGTCAGTAATAAAATAGTATGACTGTTACTTACATTAATTATAATAGATTTGACCTTAGAGCATTGTTTTTGCATTTGCCATAATTAATATCAGCATTTTCTTGTCTTCTTTGAGAGTGAACACTTGTAACAGTTCCTTTCTCTTTCCTTTGAAGAGGTTGATGGTCAGCTATGTGTACAAGAGCCTGATGACCTTTGGGGGGTATCAGGACGATTTTATGGTCGTCATTAATACTCATTCAAAAGACAGACCAACGGAGAAGTTACTTTTTGCCATGGCAAAACCCAAGGTGAGTGGAACACTTTCTGCCAGCCTTTTAACTGGCGGGTCTTTCCTGGGAAGACCCTTCTCACACAAAGGGTGTTGCGGATGGAAAGGGGACTCGCTGAAGCAACCCTCAGCATAACTCATGGCTTCCTTGATCGGAGTTCTAATTTGTTTTGCTAACATGGCTTGATACAACCTGCTTCTTTTAGCTTAAGAACTAAGTGATAAACCAGGCAGAGTGGTGCACACCTTTAATCCCAGCACTTGAGAGGCAGAAGCAGGTGGATCTCTGTGAGTTGGAAGCTAGCCTGGTCTGCATAGTAAGTTCTAGGACAGGGCTACCAAGAGATCCTGTCTCAAAAAAAAAAAAAAAAAAAAAAAAAGAACTAACTGAAATTTTTCAGTATGGGCCAATTGCTGGTGAAGAAGTTTCAAAAGCAGTGGTCATCTGCCAGCATTCAGGAGTATGGTCAGGAGGGGGGAGTTCAGGGCAGCCTGAGATACTTAAGATACAAAAGTGTGTGTGAGCCATGGAATTATTGTGGGTTATTTTGCATGGTCTTATCTACTTGGGACTGTTTGTTTTATGGACTTGTTAAAGAGCAGATTTTGATAGTTAAGATGTACTTGCCTCTTTGTGATAGTTAACAAACTATTGCATCTCTAAGTAAAGCAACTTTTGAAAAGATTACATTCTAACACATATGTTATATGTGTTATTCTAACACATCTGTTTTGAGGCTGTAGCCAGTGGCAGAGTCTCTGTTTAGCATGATTCCCTGGGGGTTCAAGCCCCAGCACTGAACAAAAAAATCCAATTTTAGTAAAAAGGGTAAGAAATTGTTTTCCCTAAAACTTTCAACTTACAAAGAAAGGTGTTTTATTACATTTATTTATTGATGTTGCTTTTTGTCTCTGTGTGCATGTCAGAGGACAACTTGGGGAGTCAGCTCTCTCCTTCCAGCACAATGTGGGCCCTAGGGATCTGAATCTAGGCCCCAGGCTCAGCGGGAAGTACACTAACCCTCCCAGCCATTTTTCAAGCCCCGTTTGTTTGGTTCATCATAGGTGTCTTTACTGACTAGTTCTGTGCTTTAAGTGAGAGCAGGTAGCCACGGAGTACAAAAGATCACAGTAGCTTCAGTGTTTCAGTTTTAATAGATTGATATGACACTCTAACGTTCTTAATGCTGACCGTCACTAGCTTGATTGGGCTTGGAAATCCATTCTTGCTGCTAACTGGAGTAATGGGAAAACGGCCTTGATGGTGCCAGGCACGTTAAAGCCTCATTTGATCTAGACCAGTGCTTCTCTTCCTGATGTCGCAACCCTTTAATGCAGTTTCTCGCGTTGTGGTGTCCCCTCCCTGTGAACCACATAGTTATTTAGCTGCTGCTTCATAACTGTAATTGTGCTACAGTTACGAATTGTAATGTCTGATATGCAGGCTAAGTGACCTCCGAAAGGAGTCGCGGCCCACAGGTTGAGAACTGGCGCTCTAACGAACCGAGCATGGTGGTAGGCTAAGCAAATGGGGCTAAAATTACCCGTGGACAGTGGAGAGAATGTCTCAGGAGCCTGACAGGACAGTTTTTCTCATTTTAGATTCTTGAAATCACCCTTCTGATCGCCAGTTACATCAACAACTTCTTCCAGCAAAAGGCAGCGTTCCACCACCTCTCTGCCCCGGCGCTGCTCTCGACCAGGACCCCGGGACCCCATGCGAGGGCCAACGGAAGCCAGCCCCTCCTGTCGAATAGCAGGCCCACCAAAGGCCCCACCTTACTCTGAAAACTCCTGAGCCTGAACCTTCTTCCCTCATCCTCCACGAAGTGGCTGCACCCACTACAGAAGAGTGTTCTACACACTGCCACCACGGCGCGCACACCACCCCTCCAGACTCAAGCAGTGATGGGTCACTCTCTTATCTGACTTAAATATTCAGATAACAATAAAACAGAAACGTAAAATGTGCCAACACACTCACTGTGTCTTAGACACAGTAGGTTAGAATTTGCCTCCACCCCACCCCATCTCCCTTCTTGGCCATCAGACATTGTGCAATAAGGCGTCTCATTTTTGCTTTGAAATAATCCTGGCAGTCTTTTGAAAGGGAGATTCCAGACTCTCTTTTGGTAAACCAGTTGACTATCTGGAAAAACTCACTGCCAAAAAATGTAAGTACTGTAATTAAATGTGCCTTTAGCTAATGAAGTGGTACTTGGAAGAGAATGAGGGTCAGTTTGAGAATCAGTGGGAACATTATGCAGGGGGGGAATTCTTAGAGTAAGTGCAATAAATCTCCTGAGTCTGTGAGTCATGGCATGAGAAGACAGGCGGTTGCTAACCAGAGCCTCCTCTGTGGTATTAGAACGTGTGGACCCTGCGGCCTCTGCACATCACTGGAGTGTGGGATTCAAAATGAGGTACTGAGTCCTGGCGTTCCTGCCCTCCAGGATAGCGTGAGATCGCTGGAATGGAGGGTGTCCCCTCATTTTATGTGTTTAATGCTAGGTCAACCCTGCTTTGTTATAAAGAGTATCTCTGGAAACAAAGGTGATCCTTAAAGCTCTGTCCGTCACACAGTCTTTCCTGATTAGAGTTTAAAAGTAATTCCAGAGTAAATTTTAATAGAAAATACTTATGCCAAAGGAAGTAAATTTTCAGTCGAAATGGTCTTGAGATGCCCGTGTTTGATACTTATCCCATTGCTGTGGCAAATACTTGACAGAAACGACCTAAGGGAGACAGGATTATGTTTGCTGTTTCAGAGGGTTCTGTCCCTGGCTGCTTGGCCTCGTGCAGTTGAGACACGAACCCCGTGGTGGCGGGGCTTATGACCTGCGAGGTTTCTCCACCTCATGGTGGATGGGAAGCAGAGAGCAAGAAGGGACCAGGGACAGGTACACCCTCAAAAGCGTGTCCCCAGTAACTCACTTCCTCTAATTAAGCTCCAACTCTCAAGATTTCTACCACCTTTCAAACTGGCATCACTGTCTGGGGCCAAGCGTTCAGCACATCTAGGAACATATCTCAAAGTTAAATCAAAACAGCAACATAGGCGACCAATACAGTCCAGGCTATGTTAAAAAAAATGGAATTATTATTCATGATAAAAAATGAAACTGTGATAAGATATGAAAATTCTATTATAAAAATATCTAACTGTAATAGTGATAAGCACGAGTCTACCTAATTTTATTTATGTGTAGAATATTTGTATTTATTTTTAGACATATATATCACTGTACATGCCATTATTTTTTTAAACCAATTTGAGGAAATGCTAACTGCCCAATTAATTTGTTGGCAGAGCCCTTGAATTTTCCTCTCTGCTGCTTTCTTCCTGTGGCAGTGTCCCGTTCCCACACTGAACCTTTAAAATATGCTTTTCCCTTCGGAGCAGAGTTAGGACACACGCTGCTCGAGTCCTGTTGGATTATCTTGGTAATGACAAAGATAAATTTAAACCCCATTGAAATGGGTTTCCACTGCCTGTTTCCCCTTCCACCTTGTGAGCCACAATCACTCGCTCAATCAACCAATTCATTTTTTAGAATAAATAATTGACGATTTTGGGGTGACTCTCCGAGTGTTTTTGACTGGGATAAAGTAGAGTTTTTGAGTGCCCATAAAGCTGCTTAATAATCATTAGGAGGCAAGCTACAGACACAGGGCAGAACTCTTTATTCTTGGCAACATTTCACTCACTGTCTGGTGAGCAGTCCCATACGCCCAGCCTGAGACTGCAAAGCAGCAAATGCTTAGCCTAAGCCACAGTGCCTTAGACTTTATGCTTGTTTTTGACAGAGCAGAAATAAAATATTTTGATGGAAAGAAGTCAATTTTCTGTAACCAATGATGTGAAAATTTTATTTCCTGGGAAATTACTTATCTAGCCATTTTTTTTAAATGCAAGTATATTATTATGATTGGTTACCGGAGAATAATGTTTCATAGTTAATTGTAATATTTCTCACCTTTCCTTTTCTTCCCTTTCAGTCATAATAAATGATTTGCGAGACCCATGTTGAACATTATCTTTTGAATAATCTTCAGGGAACCCCTAATATTTTCGCTGTCACAGCTGAGGTGCTGTGGAGGGAGTGGCGGTTATCGCCTCCTCGTGCATTCAGTCTGTCTCAGCGTGGCTTTGTTCCGTTCACGTGGAAGGAAGCTGTTTAGACAAATTGTGATTTTAATATGTGTGCGCACATGGGTGAATACTATGTGAAGAGGCAAAGAGAAATTTGTGCTTCCCCAATAAAACTCTATTTCATTTAAGCGAGTTCAATGGATTATGTTCTTAAAAATTAATTTAAAATGTTCTGCAGTGTATGTGTGTGTGTGTGTGTGTGTGTGTGCGTGTCTGTGTGTGTGTGCCCTAAAAGTCAGATGCTGCCATTCCTTACAAATGAATTTAACTCAATTTACAAGGAACGATAACCACGACTTACAAAGGGACTTCGTCCGAAAATATCTTTTTTAGTCAGTTGTTTGCCAGTGTTTTCCAAAGAGAAAAATATGACCAGGTCCTTAGAACAATCCACTTTTAACTGTTAGTTGCGCTGCAGTATAATCCTGAAGAACTGACCATCACAGCTACCTGTATTTTTCCAGTAAAGACTTTCAGTGTCTCCGCACTACCAGTTTCCCCGTGGGCTGCCCCTGGGCTGCCACAGAATCGTACTCTGCCCAGCCCTAAGCTGATTTCTATGGGGCTAAGGCTCGGGCTTTGAGGGACTGAGTGCCCTGAGGCTCAGGAAGGAACTGTGGAGACTCTTCTCTACTGCAGAAGCTCGGCTTGCTCTCAGTTCCAGCTTCCCTAAAAGAAGAAAGGGTTTACAGCCAGAAGAGAAACCTTTTACCTCCTTTAAATTCCAAGTTAAGGTCAAAGGTCACCAGTGGTGCACTTCTATAAATGCAGCACTTAGGAGGCAGAGGTGGGCCAATCACTGAGTTGGAGGCCAGCCTGGTCCACAGAGCGAGTTCTGGGACAGCCAGAGCTACAACAGAGAATCCCTGTCTCAAAAACAAACAAACAAAAAACAAACAAAATAAACAAGCAAAAAACAAACAAACAAAAACCCTCCAAATTAAGCTAAATTCACACGTGGACATTTAGGAGTGACATTAAGTGTTTCCATGTTGTCAGGCAGTGTCAAGATGTTCGGGTCATTTAACTTAGAAGGCGGGCATGAGATGACATGACACTTGCTCCAAACTGTGCCATATTTGCCAAATGTAATGTCCCCTAAATTGAACATAGTGACAGTGCCCCTTGGGAGCTGGTGGCTGTCAGCAGCACTGATGCCGTGGCCTCCGTTCGGTAACTGTTGACCTTACCCAGGGATCCCTGGTAGTCCATCCGGATGCTCGCTCAAATGCACATTTCTCTGACGTTGCTTTTCTTCCTTCTGTACCGCCAACACCTGGCCAACAGGATTTCCCTCTCATCTGCTACTGCTATCTAATAAAGCTGGTAGAGCATAGACTTGGATCTTGGGGAAGCAGAGATGTTTCAGGTAAATTTCTAAAATTCAACTTGAATGAATTCAGAAAACGATGAGAAAATTCACTTACCTTATCTTTATTACAAAGATCCTTGGAAGCCTCAAATAACTAAATGAAGTCATAAGAAAAGGACATAGAGGGGCCTCGGGAAAACCCCGGAGACTTGCACCAGGACTTTCTGTTCATAGCAGTGTATCTGCTTCACATTCTTTAACTACATTCAGCAGAACATATGGCAATTTTCTCCTAAAGGGAATGACCTGCTTTTTCCAATCATAATTTTAAAAAATCCCAAGAAATGACTCTGATTAACCCAATTCATATTTCAAGTTAATGCCAAGCCAACTCAGCATTGAATGAATGCCAAAAGAAATTATGAAAACGAATCTGCCCGGTGGAATAATGTGCGGCCAGCACGTCTTGTTCTGATGACTTTATAACTTTATATATGGGAATACATGCTTAAAACCGAGATTCTAACCACAGTACAGTATTAAGTCCAAGAGAAAGAATTTGAGGAAAGACATCAAAATGTTGAATGTTTATTTCTTCTACGATAAACATTTCCCAATCATCTTCTTTCCTGCTTTTCTTTTCTATTTTTTTTTCTTTCTCTTTTTCTCAAGTGCTAGGGACTCACTGCAAGGCTTTTGACATACTAGACAGATTCTAGCCCTGAGCCACATCTGTTCTTTCTTTTTTTTCCCCCTGTATGCACTTTTTTTCCTGCAAGAAACGTTGAAAAACAAGGGGGGAAGATACAAAAACTCTGTCACTTTCCTGGCTGTTGTTAATAGTCTCCATATGGTCTTCTAGGCTCCCAAACAACCTTCTACACAGCTGCAAAAAATCACCTCACTGAAACACAGTCAAAAGCATGCCCATTGTAACATCTTTCGTGGCTTGTCATAATCTATACAAGCAAATTCAGACAGCAAGATCCTTCACAGCAGTCCAGCCTACCTGCCCAACGTGAGCTTCCACCTCAGCTCCACAGGGGCTTTCTATACTTCCAGACAGTTCATAATGCTCCAGATAGTTCCCACATGTGCCTGTAGCCCTCCGAGCTGCCGCCATACCATGCAGTAGGCAGCATAGAACTTGTTCCTCTGGCACCAGAAACTTTGAAATCCTTAAGCCTTCTTGAAGTGGTGAAGAAAGGGGCTCAAATGTTTTTGCTTTATCTTACTTTCTATTGTGATAAAACCATGACCAAAAAGCAACTTGGGGAGGAATGGGTTTGTTTGAATTATATGTCCAAATTACTGCCCACCATTGATGGAAGTCAGGCCAGGAGCTCAAGTAGGGAAGGAACCTGGAGGCAAGAAATGAAGTAGAGACCACAGAGGAGCGCAGCTTAAAGGCTTGCTCCTCATGGCTTGCTCAGTCTGTTTTCTTAAACCACCAAGTACCACCTGTCTGCGGATGGCACTACCCATGGTGGGCTGGGTCCTCTCAAATCAATAATCAAGAAAATACCCTCTACAGACTCGTCTGTATGTTCATCTGATGAAGACAATCCTTCAACTAAAGTTCCCTCCTTATAGATGATTCTTGCTTCTGTCAAGTTGCTAAAAATCGAACCAATACACTTTGTTATTGTGGTGGTTTAAAAAAGAGATGTTCTCCATGGTCTTGGGCATTTATTTGATTTATTTGGTGCCCAGTAGGCAAGTAGCACTGTTTGGAAAGGTTTAGGTGGTGCAGGCTCGGTGGAGGAAGAATGGCTGGGAGCAGACTTGGACAGTTTAAGGACTCCCACCGCTCCTAGCTCGTGCTTTCTGCTTGGCTTTCAGTGCAAGGTGTGAGCTCTTAGTTTTCTGTTCCTACTGCCCCTCCTGCTGTTGTTTTTCCTGTCAGTGTGGACTATAATCCAAAAAAAAACCTCATTCTTCTGCAAGTTGCCTTGGTCATGGTGCTTATTCTAAAAGAACAGTAACATACAGGGATGCACTTAAAGGACAGGAAGGTCAAGTGTGAATCCTCTGGACAAGTAAAGGAGGAAAAGAGAACTCAGTCATCCATCAGGTCAACTGAATCCACCATGAATTAATGTTGGTGACCAGGGCCTGGACAGATCTATAGTGTTAGAGTATTTGTGTTTTAATAAATAAAGCTTGCCTGAAGATCAGAGGGCAAAGCAGCCGTACTAGTCAGCCATACAGGCCAGGGAGTGGTGGCACACACCTTAATCCCAGGATTTAGGAGACAGAGGCAGATGAATCTCTATTAGTTCTAGGCCATCCTGGGCTACACAAGATTGAATCTGTCTAAAACAGAGAAACAGCTCATATAAAGGTGATCCCAGCACCCGGGAATCACACACCTTTAATACCAGCACTAGGGAGGTGGAAACAGGAGTGACATGGCTGGGTGGAGAGAGGAATATAAAGGAGAAGAGACAGGATCTTACTGGAGCGTGGAGTCTGAGGATTCGTGGGGACAGGATCTTGCCCCTTCTCTCTGAAGATTTGGTAGAGGTTAAAGGTCTCCCTAGTGGTTGGCTACTTTGCTTTTCTGGTCTTTAGGTTGAACCCCAATATCTATCTCAGGGTTTTAATTATTTGTGCCATACAGATCATCCCAGATCTTCCGGTTCACAGGGTCCCTCCTCCAACCACTGATCCTGGTTACCCAAAACAGTTACAATCCTGAAGCACTAAGTGCTTTTTTTCCTGGCAAACCCTAGTACTCGGTAAACTATGTTAGCTGTCACTGTTGTTATCAATACCAACCTGGCTTCCTCAGCAAAAAACAGGAGTTCTAAGTACCTGCCCCTAAGTCATCACAATAATGGCAGTTTCCAAGCCACAGGCTAGCTAGCACCAGAATGTGGAGGGCAATTCAGAAAGCGACATATCAGCCTTCTTTGAAACCGTCCTTCCTCCACGGGACCACTTTCGTTTTAGCCCCTTCCAGTGATGCAACCGTAGCCTTTGCTTTTCCAGCCCCACAATGCACCACCCTTTGGGCGGTTTGTTCTCAAGGACATTATCTGAAGTGAGTGCTCTTTTCTTTGACCAACGTTTGCTTCATTTCCAGGAATATGCTCCTTACGTCTTTTCGTTCAAATCTGTCAACAGGGCGGAGGGAGGGTGGAACTCAAGGTAAAGCGTGTGCCTGACTTGCAGGAGGCCTTGAGTTCAATTTTTACACAGTAGGAACTGACTCCAGGTTCATCTTACTTCAAATCCCACGTTCTTAAACATCACACCATAAAAACTGAGCCCGAAGGCAGAGGGTGGAGAGAATTTCCTTCAAATATTCAGGGATCTTAGGCCTGTATCTATTCAACATTCAGAATAGGTCAAATATCAAACCTGCCATGAATGTTTCGACAAGTTCTTCAGGTATGGCCACTTCTGGACGTCTTCTACAGTAGCTTGATTACCTTGAATTATGGTCACAGTGATCTGTGTTCATCTCTTTTAAGGGCTGAGTTCTTATTTCTTACTCTGTATAGCACAGGGCTTTGTGCATGGAAATAGTCTATATACTTTTGTGGGTATTCCTATAAAGAGGGGTGTCTATAAAAATCTCACAAATATAATCCACCTACATAAAGTAAATTAAGTATGTAGAGAGGCATGCGCTTCATTGACTTATTAATAAATAATGTACTGCTTCCTAAAACATCATGCAGTCAAACGTTCAGAAAGCTGGAAAAGTTGCACGCCTTGTTTTGCTTTTAATTGTTGAATTTGTTTTGTCTAGTAAATTATTCAGTAATAGTTCAACACTATTTGTAGAAGTTTCAGCTTCTACTTCCAAATCATGGCGATAGAGAGGGGACAAAAGTTAAAGACAAGAGAGCAAAGGCCCCTGGCATATAGCTGGCACCCAGTAGAAATTAAAACAAAACGAAAGAAAAAAAAACCCCAAAACTTTCAAGTTTTGATTCCAGATGCATGAGGACCCTCACCATACCCTTCTGCCATCCTGAAAGTTGAGACTCAAACGACTATCGAGAACTACACTTCCCATGAGACCCCTCTTCGGCACGACGTCACGTCGCTGCCATGGCAACCAAGGAGCCCGCATTCTCAGGCCCAAGTTGGAGCTCGCTGCCTGCTGAGGTCAGAACTGTTTTCCACGCGGAGTCCAGGACCTCTGGGGCTGCACAGTCACCATGCCCAGGTATTGCTGAACCGGCCTCTTTTCCACCTGGACATGAAAGGGGCACGGGAGGGTGCGGCGGAGGTACCCAGCCCTGACGCTGTGGGTGGGAGATTGTGGGTCTGGACCACAACAGTACCGTGCCGCCGCACCCCACCCCGGACATCCCATAGGCCTAGAGCTTGAGGATTCTATCACAAACAAGTAGAAAAGTAAACGATTAGGAAAGCTCATCAACTCCAACCCTTCGCTGATTACATAGACGTTACTTTCTTTTCTTTCTCGTTTTGTTGTTTCCGAGACAGGGTTTCTCTGTGTAACAGCCCTGGCTGTCCTGGAACTCGCTTCGTGGACCAGGCTGGGCTCGAACTCACTGAGTTCCTCCTGCCGCTGCTTCTTCCCAAGTGCTGGGATTAAAGGCGTGCGCCACCACCACCCGTCTAGACGCTTGTTGAGTGCCACTTGAATTGCAGGCTGGAGGGTAGGCAGTGGTGAACCAGATCACAAAGCCACAGGGCCCCCCTACCTCGTGGTGCAGGACTTCTCTACTTCAGATGCGAAAGTGCAGCACCTCCTTGAAGGCGGAGGGTTGGGGGTATTGATGACTTGTGAAATACGTTCGATCTCTTCGTCTCTACAAGGTCCTTTAAATTTAAAGTACCTGAACCACCAAATGGCCAACAAGGATGTAGGGTAGAGGGCCAGGGATCTTTCGCCCCCTTCTGGCGTGAACTGCGATTGTTTATGAAGTTCAGGTCTGGAAATGAGTCCGCTTTATATCGTCTTCTCATTGGTTACCGTAGTGAAGCTATGGGTACCGTTTTTTGTTTGTTTGTTTGTTGGAAGCATGGCAGATGGAAGAACCCTTTCCTTTTACTGGGTACTTGAGAAACACAGCCACATTCTGGAGGGATGGTGTGTAAACAGAACAAGAGACGGAGACAGTTCCTGGAGGCTGGCCCATGAAATAAAATAGTTGAGTGCAACATCTCGGGATTTCGATTTTGATTTTGTTTTCCTGCTTTGACGTTTTAAAAACATTCCCTTTTTGTTTGGGGATTCTGGGAATTGAACCCAAAGACTCAT